TCAACCCAGGAAATCTCTCTTCCTTGAATTGCAGTGAATAAGCTGTGGTGGGGAGGGCGTGGTTATACTCATTAGTCAGACCCAAAATCTCTTAATAGTACACTTACACACACACATACAAACGTATCATGCAACAAACAGCTATATCCCTACTCCCTTTTATTCTATTTGAGCTGTCTTCTATGAACCAAGTTGGCTGTTCAATTACTTGCAATTTCCAAATCCCTTGTACAAGAACAGGTCCCTTACCAAACTTCTTAGATGATTTAGGTCCAAATTTTTTGGCGGCCACTGCTGCTTTGTGAATCATGTGTATCCTGAATCCCGTTCCCTCAGAGATTTTTAATAATTCTCGGTGAATCTAAAGCAGAGGATAATAAAAAGCAGTAGCTGCTAAGATACTTGGAGAAGATTTAAAACATTTTGTACTATTAACAACATCATTACTGACTCATGAATATCTGAAATTAAATCTACAATATGCAAATTAACCAGAATCTGGGCTTTTCATAACTCTAATGTCCACAATAATTAAGTAGTTTCTTGAAACCTAGTAAATTAGTTCTAAAAGACAAAACCAATAGCTCACCAGTCAGTTCCGTATTTTAAAATACAGCAGAATTACAGGCTACATCATACTTCTTGACATATGAGCGGGCTTTAAAATGTTCATGGAAAAATTCCATTATCTTTTCACTCCATTTCCCATGAACTTTGCGAAGCCCCTGTGAGTATTTTATACTATACAAACACATTGGAAGGAGCCTTGGTGGTGTAGTGGGGAATACACTGGGCTGCTAACTCCAATGTCGGCAGTTGGAAACTCTTTGTCCGTGGGACAAAGCTGGTACTTTCTCCTCCCATAAAGAGTTACAGTCTCAGACATTTGCCCGGGCAGTTGTACCCCATGCTATCAGGTGGCTCTGAGTTGGAATCGAGCACACTGGGAGGGGGGAGCAGATCACTGTCAAAAACTGAGATGCGTTTCTTTTCTCACCTCAAGATGGGGGTTGGGGAAGGAAGAGGTGAGAAAAATAAATTTTAGAAAGACTATATATATAATAATGACCTTTTGACTTCAAGGACCTTAAGCAGTTACCTAGAAATATAAATGGTAATATATCATCTTATAGAAAATTATGAATAGGCTTGAGAGACATTCTTACATGGAGTAAGATACAGAACTATAGTATTTGCTCTGTTCAGCATACTTGGCCATAACAGAGATGCAGACCTTGTTATATTTAGACCTTTTTATTATTAGGGAGAACACCAACTAAACACTACACACATTCTCTTTAGAAACTGCAACCATACCTGGCTGGCAAGTTCTCTTGTTGGTGAAATAATCAGAGCCCGGAAGCCTTTATTTGTGGGTTGTTTCAGCTGCATCAAAATGGGAATGCTAAAAGCCAAAGTTTTTCCCGATCCAGTAGGTGCAGAGGCCAGAAGTTCCCGACCCTAAAATACAGAGTACATTAAATATAAGGAAATGCCTAAAATTTTCAGAGCCCAGTCAGATGATTGTTACCAGCCACAGAAATAACCAAACCCTAATGAATCAAATCATTCATGTCCCCATTAGACTTTTAAACTTAACCCATTAAAAATAGTAATAATAAAAAACTTATCCCATACTGATTTTCTAACATCTCCCATCCCTGCTACCACTGTGCCAAAAGTAATATAGTTCAGCTAAACTACTGGAGGGGTAGACAATATTGATAAATGAAGCCCAACATTACTGACAAAGACTTGGAGAGGGGAAGAGGAAGCCACTGTAGAGGGTACACAGAGCTTCTGTGAAGGGTGATGGAAAACCTGGAAATGAGTGATGACTGAACATGATGAGCATTATTAGTCAGTGAACTTTATGCATGAAGTATGTTGAAATACTTTGTTGAATATATATATATATTCCCCAGCCAAAGACCCAGACATGAAAGTGGCTAAGCCATCTATAAGTGACATTCTTCAAATAGTCACTGAGATTTTTTAAAATTTAGCTAATGCCAGGATAGAAATAATCTTAAATGAAAATTTAAAGCCAATCTACCACAGTGTGAGTCGACAGCATCATTCAATACACGAATGTATTCAGTTCAGTAGCTGGAGAATGAAAAAGACTAATGGATGTAAAGGTGACTAATATCCTTTACTACCAGAACTTAAGATCATCTTGGTTATGTGGGGGGAAACTTCTCATTTCTACAAATCTACTAAAAAAAATTTCATTTTCTAAAATCCCCGTATGTCTAACAATAGGTTAATAGATAAACAAACTGTGATATAATCATACAATGGAAGAATTCCAGCAACAACAAAAAATAACCAATTACAATGTAGGCAATATGGATGAACCTTAAAAACACCATGCAGAGAAAAAGATAAATATGATTTCATCTCTATGAGATTCTAGAAGCAAAAGTAGTGTCTGTCTGGTGATAGACATTATAACAATGGTTGTCTTTAGGCAACTTCTCCAGGGAGTGAGAACTAAATGCAAGGGGACGCAAGACAATTTTCTGGGACTCTAGGAATGTGCTAATGAGTCCTGAAGGACCAATAGGTTAAGCATTAGGCAGTTAACTACAAGGTCAGTGGTTTAAACCCAGCAGCCATTCTGTAGGAACAAGAGGAGGCTGTGTGTGCTTCCTTAAAGACTTACAATCTTGGACACTCTATGGGGCAGTTAGCTGTACTGAGTCAAGAGTCTATGAGTCAAAATCAACTCGATGACAGTAGGCTTATTGTTTGGTACAGGTATGGTCTATACCTTTATTCGGTATTGGGTGGTGATTACATTGTTGAAACTCACTGAACTGTACACTGAAATTCTATGCAATTTATGGTATGTAAATTATATTTCAATAATAAAAATCAGTAGGGAAAAAATCTAAATCAGGTATGTAAACACAGTTTAGAAAGTATCTCTAGCTCTGAAATACTCCCAGGCATTATAAGCTAACTGGAAAGTGAACAAACAGAACATAGTCCTCACTCTCAGAATTTGCACTCTTGTAAGATGGAAAAGGCAAATACAATTACAAATACATGGTCATTTAATGTCTCCAATAAACATCACAAGGAAAAACCCTCACTAAATACCATGGAGAATAAGGGTGTCGAGAAAGGTGTCATAAAGGGAAAAGACCTCATCTAGCTGTGGGAATCAAGGCACTTTAATGGAGGTATGGATATCTGGGATGAACCTTAAAAGCAAGAGAAGTTGATGGATGTATGGATTGTGATAACAGTTGTATGAGGCCCTAATAAAACGATTAAAAAAAAAAAGCAGAGAAGTATTTCAGCAGGGGGATTATGCAGGGGAGGAGTTTCAAGGGCAGGGAAGGGAGAGCACACATGGGAAGGGCTGTCCGAGGCTCCCAGACCTGCGTACTCACATGCAGCATCACCGGAATGGCCTGCATTTGGATCGCCGTGGGCACCTGGAAACCTGCATCTAGAATATTCTGAAGCAATCGAGAACTGATTTTATATTCTTGGTCAAGCTGCTGAAAGGTAGCAATTGGGTCAGGAAGATCAGTTCCTTGGACATGGATTTTGTGTTTATTCCGGAAGATATTTATCTGAAAAGTGAAGCAAAGGGGTCATCATAGGTAGCAGCCAAATACGTTGTCAATTGTTACCAAAGCAGTTTCTTTCTAGGATTAATTTCTTAGCATATGGAACTTTTTGGTTTAATTCCAAGCCCTAAGAAATCATGGACATGAGGTACATTCTATGTCCTTTCTTAGGCAGAAGACAGTCCTAACAATGAAACCTATTTATCCACACTTCCTGTATATTCAAGGGTCTCTGTCATGAGAGAAAAGGGAGTCCTGCTGGGGCAGTGGTTACCCAAAGGTTGGGTTTGAATTCATCAGTCAAGGAGGCATGGGAGAAAGATGGGGCTCTGCTTCTACAAAGACTGCAACCCGACGGGCAGTCCTGCTCTGTCCTATGGATTGCTGAGTCGGCGTCAACTTGATGGCAACTGTTTTGCGCATGAGTGATGTGTTACTGATG